AACTAGTAGCATATAAACATTTTAATTAAAAAGGAAAGAAGGAGGGGGGGGAAAAAAGACCAGTATTGCAGTGCCTGTTCTGTGGGGCAGGGATATACAAAAGTATTTTGTTACTTGCTTTGCAGAGTATTGGAAGAGGCAGCTCTTTTCCCAGAGAACCTGGTGTCCAAAAGACTTACCCTGCTTTAGGGTTTGTACAGCTTCAGCTTTATACAATCTGTAATCAGGAATGTACTTTATATGATTTATTGTGGTTTTTGCTTGTTACAGAGAATAATTTACTCTCTGAGGATGTGCACTGGTGAGGGGGGAATGGCAGGACCTGTAGCAGCAGCAGTAAGCAAGCCTTACAGGTGGAGGTAGCTGTCTGTGTATGACAGGAGTAACAGGAATGGGTAGACTTCAAACACCAAATTTGTAGGAAAAGGACTTAGCCTGCAGAGCCATGTGCTACCATTCTTCTAGAGGTAATAAATATTTTTGAAAAGAAAATGATCAGAGGTAATTTCGGCTTAAGCTTAGCAATTTTTGGCTAATGCAAAAAGAGGCAGTTTGCTCCATAATCTTCAACAAAGTGGATGTTCTGGGGTTGTGTTGAGGGGGTTTGTTTAAGGCTCTTGCCCTTCCCTCTAGTATGCTTCCTTCTCGTTAGTGCTTGTACAACTGGTTATACAACTATACTGTAAAGCAAAGCAGGGAACATGCTTAAAATACTGTAAAGAGTTTGGTTGTTTTTCTTTAAGATTAATCAATTCTGCATTTGGAGTAACAGGTTGACCCTATGAACGCTGTGCAAGCACAGCCTGGGGGGAACAGGCAGGGCCCAGAGGTATTTGCAGCAGCTTTACAGGCTCCCCATTTGTTTTGTGACACCTCAGAGTGGGTCATGCATGTAGCCATGTTGATCCCAAGACCTTGCTGTTACTTCAGCTATGAAGTTGCCTCAAGCTTTTACTGAAGCCAGGCTAGGAGGCCAGTTTTGAAACTACAGATGAGGTATGCGTTTGGGATATATTTTACAGTAGGCTTGATGCTCAGCAAGGGCTAGCTGCCCCTAAAAAGGGTTGTCCTATCTTTAGCCTTGTCGCTTCCTTTGCACTATACGTCAGTTATCTGGAGTTGATCTTCTGTCAGATCAGCAAGCTCTCCAGTTCACCAGAATAAATATTCTTGTTTTTTCAGTCAGATGAGTGAACTGATCCGACTCAAGGAGGGGGCAGGGGTGCACAGCTGGGGCTGGGGGAGCAGGCTCACCCCTTTCTCAGTGCTTCCAAGGCCACAATTTCAGTGGCAGCCCACAGTTACTGGCTTACATGATGGCTGGGCTCAGTGACACTACAGATCTTCCTGCATGAGGAATTATGGACAGTTTTGAAACAAAAATCATCTGAAGCTGAGCCAAGAACTGGGCTGAGGGGAGGTCTTCCCTCCCCCCAAAACATCTGTTCAATGATCTCTTGCTGTTCATGTTTGCTGAGATGGGGACAGAGTCCGGCTGCTTGGCTTGCGGCTGTTTGACTCCAGCCTGAGCGGTGAGGAAGGAAAGTCCCCGAGGCACAGTGCTGTGTCATCCTGGCCTTTGTCCTCGTGCAGTAGTGGATCTGTACTGGAGAGGCATGGCTGAAGTGCAGTGGCAGGAACCACCAGCACTTGGATCTCTATTCCCTTCTATTTTCAATGCCTGGTTTTGGCTAGTGGTTCTCCTAATGCTTTAAGCCTGCTCTGCTGCTGAAACAAGTGGTTCCACACGTGTCTTCAGCTAGACCCTCTCTCGTGCCCAGGCAGAACACGTGACAAACACAAGCTCGGAAACCAGTCTATGTTGAAACTAATTGGCAAAAGATGGAGTCGTTGGTTTTCAAAGTTTGATCACTTCCATGATTCATTTTGGTGCATGTGAGCACTGAGAGGGAGGGAATGGCATGGGAAGGGGAGTGAGAAGCTGGGGAGCAAGAGCTTATTATACTGGTTTGGCATTCTGTGGCTTTAGTGTTCAGAAAGATCAGTTCAACCATCTCAGCAGCTTACAGGCTGCTAAAATGTGTGTTGTCCCTCTGGTCACATGTCATCCCTTGCATCAGTTCCAGAGTTTCCCCTGTGTGTTGTGCTTTTTTCTTTTTGGTGGTGTTTTTGTGTGTGTGAACTGATCGAGCTCACTGAACTGTCAGAAAACTTTCTGCGGTGGTCATGGTGCTTTTTTTTTCCTGGTGGTTTGTTTTGTTTTGTGTGGTGTGTTTTTTTTTTTTTTTTTTTTTTTTTTGTTTGTGGCTCAGGGAGCTAACTGGGTCAGCGTGGGTCCAGCTGAGCACTGGAGCTGGGGTAGGGGATTGTATGCGATTGCCCCCTTCTGAATGCAGCAAGCTGTTGTATTGGTTCAACCTCTTTCTCTTTTGACTTCATAGCATTGCATTAGTTTGATTCTATCTCTTCTCCATTTTGTTCCTCAAATATTAGCAACCAATGAAGGATCTTCCACTTCCTGTGGCTTTTAATAAAACTCTTCAGAAGAATCCCTGGCACTTCCCCTTGGAGATTTAAGTGTTCTGGAGCCTCATGCCAGTGGCTTGTCCTCTGGCTGCTGGCAGGATCCACTGGTTAATGAACTTGGGAACTGGCTTAGCTGGAACTCAGTCCAGCTTTTCTTGTTTTTCTTCTGGGCATCTTTGTGCACCTTTCACAATTTGTTTATTGAATTGGAGCAGACCTTTCTTATGTCCGTGGCAGAGATTGTTACACTGGGATTGCATTAGCACCTGGTCCCTTCAGCAGCGGTTGTGTTGGGGAATAAGAAAATTAGCAGTTAACTGGTTCTGTTACTGAGTTCCTGTGTGCTGTGTGAAGCTAACTATTGAACAGAAAGGTAATCATGGTAAACTTTCAAAGTTAGTATGGCAGGGTTCTTTTAATGTGCTGCTGTCTAAAATTAAAAGGATTAATACTTGTATTGTGACACTGAATCTCTATTAGCCCTGAAATATTCTGTCCAAAGTGGTTTTTTTAATTAGTCTTTCGATCTTAAACATTCTATGCCAAGTCAGTTGTAAAAGGTTTCGTCTTTAAATTGGTTTGGGTTACCAAAGCCCAGAAAACTCATGTTCATTTACACTCTCCTGAAATGACTTCGGTGGATGTTGGGTTTTTTGAATTCCCACATGCGCTACTTGCAGTTTCATTCTAAAGGGCTGTCTGGAGAAAGGCGGGAATGAAAGTGCTCTTTCAGCTACAAGTACAGTACTTCAGCAAAATCAAATTTAGCTGGTGTTTGAGGTCAATGGGGGCTTTGTATGTCGAAAGCAAATGCTTCTATATTGGGGTGGGGGAGTGCAGTCAAACAGCTGAAATAAGCTTAATTGCAGGTTGAAGCTGAATAAGATGCTATCAGAGATATTTTTTTTGTTTTGTTTTCCTGCCTGTACATCTTCCTTGGCTTGTATCCTGTATGCTTTCTCATCCTTAGAGAACCTTATTGTTGTGAGCAGAAGACTTCACTGTTATTTCTGTGTTGCTGTTAGCTTTGCAGCCCAGAGGTTTGCTTTTGAGGTATCAATTTCATATGCTTTGGGGAAATAAAAACAAAATGCAATGGATGTGGGTGTGAGAGGAGATGAGGATATTAATCTAAAAACAAAATAATGGGAAACTTGTTTGTATTTGGCTTCAAATACATCTTATGTAAAAGGAAATCTTTTTATGCTGGTGTACTTACTGTGGTTTAATCTACTTTTGTAACTTGGCAATTCGTGAAGTATTCAAAATCTTGAAGCCCCTTGCCCTCTGAATTTTCTTTTCTTTGCTTTTGAAATATATAACAATGTTACTTGAAGGGTGATTCCCCCCCCCCCCCCCCCCACCAAACACTCATTCTTTTTTGTTTTTTGACAAAACA